GGACACGCACACACACACACACACACACACACACACACACACACACACACACACACACAATCTTACCCACATGCGTGCACACACTCAAGCAAATGTACTTGAGTATTGTTTCTATTGTTTCTTTGCCCTTACAGATAATTGTTTTTCAATGCTATTCTGTCCATTTCTTATTTATAGGCTTTATTGCACTTAAAAATCATGCAATGATTGTAATGTTTTAAAGTATTTTTATCTATTCATCTTCATATCCTACTCTCTGTTGTCACTGTCTTATTTCGTCCCTTCATGAAGTGTCGGCATGGATGGTTGGTGGGGGCTCTTGTGTGGTTTGCTCCTGCTCTCCTATCACATATCTATCGTCTTTATCTCTCCTTCCCCTTTTTTTTGTATGTTACTCTCTTGTAACACATCTATTCTTCGGCTCTTACATGACCTTATTGTGTTGCAAGTGCCGTAAAGCTCTTATTTAAACTGAAAACTAAGGAAGTGTCAGCTATTGTGTTGATGTGTTTCTTTTACTCCAGTAAACAAATAAGACAAACGAACAGACAAACAAATGAGCAGACAAATTTTGGTGACTGTCTGTTGCTGTTTTGTCTCTCACTCCCGTAGAAGAAGCAAGAAGAAGCTGGCATTCTTCACCTCTACAAGGACTCCATGCCCAGCCAGCGACGGAACTTCCAGCAGGATTTTGACTCGTGTAAATTCAAGAGCTGGTGGATCACCAATGTCCTGAAAACAGATGAGGTGAGAAAGATTTTGCGTTGACAAAGCGTATAGCAATGCGTATAGTTGCAACCCATAAAATCGGGGCTACAAGTCGTCCTCTGTCTTAGGTATGGGATATGAAATTAACACCCCCCCGCTCCTCCCCAAAAAAACCCAAACAAACGAACAGCAGGAGCAGTCTAAAGCTGCCGAAAAATCGCTGACAAAATGCAGGTTAGTTAATAAAGTACTTTAATTTGTTTTGTTTTCCTATGTGGTTATTAATGAAAAATTAACTAATAAAGGTGTTAACCGTGAAAAAGTGGTGCATTTTGTCTGTCTGATGAACATATGATTTATACCATAAATTTTGGCTCTCAGGTGTACCTGGGGCCCATTGCTCATTTATCCCATAAATATTTATGATTATGTATGGTAAATGTTGATGGTGTTATTGTTGTGCTCAAACCACGTAAGTGGAAGAAATACATCAACTCTGGTTTCATTCTAAAACCATTGCTGAGGTCAGTCTTTGGGTCTTCAATTAAAATCAGGAATCATCATGCACTATTGATAGTTTGAAAGTCCTGTGGACCACTAACCTTTGGGTCTTAAAAGATTGAGGCCTTTTCACTTTTGCTCAAGTTATCAGGTTGACTTATGTAATTACTATTTTTCTAATTTTTCTCAAAATAATGATAAATAACTAAGGCAATGGAGCTGTTACCATGACGTTACATTTATCTTGTTGTACAGGCTACTTTTAAGAAGGTCGTTGAAAGTGGAAAGTTGGCATATAACGAAGAAGAAGAGGAATCTGCTCTGGGCCCTAGTGCGACAGATATGACGGAGGAAGCGAGTTCAACCCCTCTTACTCGCCTCGAGAAAGTGAAGATTATTGCCGGCAGGTAGGAAAGGATGTTTATTGGTCAGATGCATCAGATTTTAATGGTTCAGGGTCGGGTAATGGCTGTGGCCAATGCACACCAGATCTATATCAAATACACCTGTGCTTTGCTTCATTAGATTTGACCCTCAAGTCCTTTAGGTGTACAATGAAACCATTTGACCCTGCAAGCTCATGTGAAACATACTAGTCTTGTGGTTGGCTACTTGGCCATGATTTTCATCAAACAAACCCGATCATGACTTAGAAAATCAGACATGTTTGATTTTGGAAGATTTTATCATTATATTGAGCCCAAATGGCATCATTTCCACATCTGCAACTTCAGTGACACAGTAATTGGATTTTGATTTTTTTGGTACGCTTAACAAACCTTGCCATATTGAGGAGGTGAAACGAATAATATGCATTTTTACCATACGTTTTATGCGAGAAAAATTCTGAAATTATGCAAACTGAGCCCAAAAATGTGAAATTATGCGATTCTGTTAATTTTAACAAAGAATATAATAAAGGAAAATAATTAGAAATTATGCAAGACATGATAACATTTTGCTAAATTATGCGGGGTACATAAAACCACGGGGACAGCCATATCAATAACTTAAAACTGAATAGAAAAAATATTAATTTTTTTGTGTCCAAAACAAAGTATCTTTTGTTTGCTCTGTATCTTTGATATGGACAGACTTGGGTAAACAATGGGGGTTTTTTCTTATGGTTTGTCAAAACGACAAAATCTTGACATAGGCAGCTGTGTTATGACTGTTAATAATAATAATAATTATAATAATAACAATAATAGAATGCATTTATTTAGCGCACTATCCCATACTAGTATAAGCTCTGAGCGCTTTTCATCAATCACATGATTACTAAGCGATTCACACAAGATAAAATATTTCACACGAACAAGAAAAAAAACAAAACAGTTCAACCGCATAAAGAAGAACTTTCACAACCATGCAATACTTATATATACACGTAAGGCCCGCAATAAAAACAAAACATATCGGCACTTACTAACACATTATGACTAAGAATTGGTGGCTTTTAAGGACAAGGGGTTTCCAGAAATCTTGACCTACCCCAAAAGTTGGCATTGCTCTACCTATAAGAAACGTTTGGTTTCATTTATGTGTATTTTTATTTTGTTATAGAGAAAACTCTCCTTGTCTTTTAAAGCAACTGAACAAGGGGCAAAAACTTTACCTTCAATTTTCTCAAGACAGCATTTTTCGGGATAGCCTTCTTGTGCTTAAAAGCAACCAATTAAATAAATGTTAGGCAGCGTGGTGAAATCAGGTGCTCGTCAAAATAATCAAAGTGAAGAAACTGGCATTTTTCTGCAGGTTTGTTAATTTGTATCCAATTTTCGTATTTTGGCTCAACACCTTTCATGCCCATTATAGAACACATTTCTGTGTTGATTTTACTGAAAAACTTTGATTAAAGGCACTAAAAATGTAAATTTTCAGTTTCCACGAACTCTCAAGGTAAGGAAATAACTCATCTTTGGTCGCCATTTTCTCACTAATTTTACCTCTGAAACCAGGTGACCCCCACCTCCTTCATTTGCAAATATCTGGACTTCTGTTCAAGATAAATGGATATTTTTTTCAACCAAAGCAAGACGAAAGAACAAGCTTTCAGATGCTACCAATAACTCAACATGGCCAAAAATTGATGAGAGCCTGATTCCACTGCGTCGTGACACACATGAGTCTTTTGAGTCCATGATTTCCTCATCAGATATGCTTGAGTCCATGATTTCCTCATCAGATATGCTTGAGTCCATGATTTCCTCATCAGATACGCTTGAGTCCATGATTTTGAGTCCATGATTTCCTCATCAGATACACTTGAGTTCATGATTTCCTCGTCAGATACGCTTGAGTCCATGATTTTGAGTCCATGATTTCCTCATCAGATACGCTTGAGTCCATGATTTCCTCGTCAAATACGCTTGAGTCCATGATTTCCTCGTCAGATACGCTTGAGTCCATGATTTTGAGTCCATGATTTCCTCGTCAGATACGCTTGAGTCCATGATTTTGAGTCCATGATTTCCTCATCAGATACGCTTGAGTCCATGATTTTGAGTCCATGATTTCCTCATCAGATACACTTGAGTTCATGATTTCCTCGTCAGATACGCTTGAGTCCATGATTTTGAGTCCATGATTTCCTCGTCAGATACGCTTGAGTCCATGATTTCCTCGTCAGATACACTTGAGTCCATGATTTCCTTGTCAGATACACTTGAGTCCATGATTTCCTCATCAGATACGCTTGAGTTCATGATTTCCTCATCAGATACGCTTGAGTTCATGGTTTCCTCATCAGATACGCTTAAGTCCATGATTTCCTCATCAGATACGCTTAAGTCCATGATTTCCTCGTCAGATACGCTTGAGTCCATGATTTTGAGTCCATGATTTCCTCATCAGATACGCTTGAGTCCATGATTTTGAGTCCATGATTTCCTCATCAGATACACTTGAGTTCATGATTTCCTCGTCAGATACGCTTGAGTCCATGATTTTGAGTCCATGATTTCCTCGTCAGATACGCTTGAGTCCATGATTTTGAGTCCATGATTTCCTTGTCAGATACGCTTGAGTCCATGATTTCCTCGTCAGATACGTGGGCATCATCTCCACGGTGCGGGTGTGCAACTCCAACTCGAGCTCGCTGCGTATGGAGGTGCGTCGACGAGGCCAGGGCGTGGTGTTCACCCACGAGAAGTTCTCCGAGATTGTCCTGACCAAGGAGCAGATGGAGCACGCCTGCATGGACTACAGGCTGGGCTATCTCTGCGGGCCGCCTGGCTCGGGGAAGACGGTCGTTCTGGCTCAGAAAGCTAAGAGGTTGGTTCATTTTTTTCTTTTTCCTTTCCCTTTTCTCTGTTTGTTCTGTCGATGTCTTGTGGTTTTCAGGCATGCATCCAGTAACACTTTTTGGTTTTGTTTAATGTACTGTTTCTGCTTTTATTTATACCCACACATCAGATTTTTGGATCGTTGTGGTTTTTCCACATACAGTCGAACTTGTCTAAGACTGTCCCTGTCGTTTTATGCAAGAAAAATTCTGAAATTATGCAAAACGAGCCCAAAAATGTGAAATTATGTGATTCTGTTAATTTTAACAAAGAATGATAAAGGAAAATAATAAGAAATTATGAAAAAAATGATCAAATTTTGCTAAATTATGCGGGGGGCATAAAACCACGGGGACAGCTAAGACGGCCACACATTGTCCAGGAGTGAAGTGGTTGGTGTAGACAGGTGGTCCTCTGTTTGTTTTAATAAATTTTTACGGCAGCATAAGGTTATATTAGCACCAAGGCGTGGATGTCAATAGAGAAGTCCAAATGTGGAATCAGGCTTACTCTGCTCACCTCTCTAGCCTCAACAGCACAAAGTCTGCTTCGACTATCAAGGCATCCTGGAAATAGCAGTTCACAAGAGAGTGGCAAATATACAAAAGAAGTAGAGGAAAAAGGACAATAGTAAGGATGAGGAAAGAAAAAGCAGCTGTTCCCCCCTATGTTGTTTTGGCACAGAATGAGCATGACATTGATAAATCAGCCCATTTACAATTCTACTGAGCATAAGAACATGTTAATAACCCCCCCCCCCCCCCCCCCCCCTTTGGGAATGGCTAAAGACACTTCAGTCAGTAGCACTGCCCTGGTTTGGGGAGGTGGTCCTCTTGGACAGGGTTCTGTTATTACTTACTTTTCCTTTTTACTTTTTCATCCTCTGTTGCCTTTAAGTGTCAAGGACAGATGCAGTTTTCTATGGTAGGCCAGCTCTGCACCTCTTTCAGTGTTCTTTTGATGTTGAAAAAGCGCAAGGTGGGAAGTGGTCGTTTGTGCATGTGATTGTCTTGAACAGTTGGTCGCTATAGTAAGTTTGCCGCGCAGTTTTCTTTGAATGTCGGACGTTTGGGGATGGATTATTTTTACATATCTTGAAGAAGGCTCTTTATAGTACACAATATACTGTGTGGAGGGAGTCACTGACCGGTCCTTCTTCTGTTTTTTCCTTCTGTTGTTCTCATTTGTCTTGTTTGTCGGTTGTTGGCGGGTGCTCTGGTGTGGTTTGCTTCTTCTTTACTATAAAACCTCTATCGTCCTTATCTCCCCTTCTTCTTTTTTGTTTGTTACTCTCTTGTACCACCTCTAATCTTCTGACGCTCGTATGACCTTATGCAGTTGCGAGCGCCGTAAAACCTCTACTAAAACTAAATCTGTCTTGTTTTTTCCTCTGGACTCTTGTATTACTGTTATTGTATCGATGTGCTTCTCTTTACTCAAACTGTCAAACTCAACCCATCAACTGTGTAATGCTCTGGTGTTCTTTGCTCCTTCTTTCCTATCAAACATATATCGTCATTATCTCTCGGCTTTCTCATTTTGTTTGTATGTTGCTCTCCAGTAAAACCTTTAGTCTTTGGCACTTATATACCCTAATTGTGTTGCAAGTTCTCTTTAAACTCAATTTAAAACCGAATAATTACTAAACAGCTGTGTTATGCTCCAACTACGTAACTGGAATAAATAAGTCAACTCTTTTTTTTTGTTCTTAAACCGTTGATGAAGTCAAAGCAAATCTGTGGGTCTTATATAAAATCCGGAGTCAGCATGCTCCATAAATAGTGTACAAGTACTGTAGGCTAGCTGTTTTCTCTTCTCTGATCATCTAAATCAGAACAGGTTGGGTTTTTTTGGCCTGTTGAAAAACTGTCCAAAAACCAGTAGCAAAGTTTGCCCATTGTCCCATCGTCGGTCAATGTTCTAACTACAAACCTGTTTTTCCTGCTGGGTGTATTGCCTGTTTTTTTCACGCTCAGTGTATTTGACTGTTTTTTCACGTTCTGTGTATTTGACTCTGTTTAGTTTTGGTAGAAGTTTTACGGCGCTCGCAACTGCATAAAGTCATATGAGCGCCACTTTGACTCTGTGTATTTTACCGTTTTTTCAATCAAGTTGGTGCAATCAAGACCATGGCGGCCGCTCTGATTCCGCAAAGAGTGCTCTTCCTGATGTTGCAGCTGGTCGTCCTGTCTGTCATTGATTACGGATTGGGCTGTCTCACGCTGTCCGACACACAGATCGCAAAGCTGGATCGAGTGCAGAATGAGGCAATGAGAGCAGTTCTGGGCTGCACCAAGGACTCTCCAATATTGTGCATGTGCTACTTGCTAGGTTCAAGTGGCATCAGAGTACGCCATAGGATAGCTCAGGCAAAGATGTATATCAGTGTAGTGGGCAAGAAGGATCATCCACTTCACAAAGCACTTCATGACAACAGGAGAGGCAGAATCAAGAGAGGAAAATCTTGGATGGCGGAAGCAGAGGATTCCCTGAGAACAATCTGTGTACCTGAGAACCTACCACTAGGCGAAGAATGGGAACAGGTGGCCGGAGAACACAGGGACCTCACCAAGGTCAAAATAAGCATGGGCAGAGACAGAAGAAATGTTGTGGCTGCCATCAACGAGAGCGATATCAACGAGATTGTTGACACAAACTCAAAAGCAGGGGATCCTATAATTTATACAGATGATTCGGTGAAAAGAGATAGCCAGAGAAGTGGATGGGGATTTGTTGCTTACGTCAACAATAAAATCATGCACAGTGCATCTGGAGCCTGCAGCAGGGCTACATCAAGTATGCGAATGGAAATTGAAGCCATCAGGAAAGCACTTGATTGGATGACCCAAGATCGCTCCCACACAACCCATGCTGTTCTTATCACTGATTCCATGTGTACCCTCAGAAGGATCGAAAAAGGTTTCCTGAGAACAGAATGGATTTAAGCTATTGAACCTATACCATCGCTCACATGGATTTTCTGCCCTGGTCATGCAGGTGTTAGAGGAAATGAAAGGGCCGACAGATTGGTTTACAATATGGTTCAACCAGATAAGCTCGAGATCCTGAAATGTCTCTCTCGCCAGCTGATTGAGGAGGAGGATAGGGAGGCAGAGGCCAGTACTGCCGTGGAGAGGATGATGCTTTTGGGAATAAAAAAAGGAAGCGGAAAATCTGGTATCCTTGCAGGAAAGAACAGAAGAACGTTCAACCAGATGTGCACTGGCACAATCAGTAGAAGGACCCTAGGCAACATTTTGGAGAGAGCAACGGAGCATCAATGGACATGTCCGGAGTGCAGGGATGTTGCTTCCTGAAACAAGAACAAGAACAAGAACCGTTTTTTCACGCTGGGTGTATTACCTGTTTTTTCACGTTCTGTGTATTTGACTGTTTTTTCACGCTCAGTGTATTTGACTGTTTTTTCACTCTATGTGTATTTGCCTGTTTTTCAAGCTCTGTGTATTTGACTGTTTTTTCACGCTCAGTGTATTTGACTGTTTTTTCACTCTATGTGTATATGCCTGTTTTTCACGCTCTGTGTATTTGACCGTTTTTTCACGTTGGGTGCATTGCTTGTTTTTTCACGCTGGGTGTATTTTCCCAGGTGGATCACCGACAACCTGTCTGGCGCGGGGGCGGCGGACGGTGGGTACCGCTGTGTGGTGGTGGTCAATATGTACCGCGGGGACAAAGGTCGGGCCATCGGCTTGCAGCTGGTCAAGTCCATCACGTGGGCGCCGGGGGAAGAGGAGCAGAAGCGATTGGCCGAACATTGTCTGCAGGTATGTTCTTAGGCTGACAAGATAGGGAATGTGGTAAGTGTGGTCTAATTCGCTGTGATTATCTGGCAAGCCACAAGAACATGAAATGAGTGAACAAACTCAGTGTAGCCTAGCGAGTGTAAGAAAATAAAGGCGCATGGAAGGGTATAAAAAGAGATGCGAAATTTGAACCGGCCTTCCGAGCCGCGACTTGGGTTGAGCAGGGATCGATGCGACTGGTGGGTTGACACAGTGGATGGAGCTCCAAAACTGTAAGTATTGCACATAACCATAGGTAACGAGTTGAATCTAGATCAAGGATTAGATCTAGCCCTTTTCATCTCATTACAGTAAGTAAGTAAGTAAGTAAGTAAGTAAGTAAGTAAGTAAGTAAGTAAGTAAGTAAGTAAGTAAGTAAGTAAGTTTATTCAATGTTTGACTCTTTTCCTTTTGGGCCAAAATCCACCACTGGTCCACGGCTTTTCCCTGACCTATTTTTATTCCCCTACCCCACCAATGGAAAATGTCAAGACATCCAACTAAACACACGCAAGCTGTGACAAACCATATCATAATGCCGTTCAAACTGAATGTTAAAAAATTATCTATGAAATGGTGGTACAATATTGAAGATTTATTCCAATTATATTATTAGTTTGGAGTTTCTGAAAGTTATTGTGCAATATCAAAGGTGTCATATGAAATCAACAATTTTCCTGCTTTGAAAGGTCATAATTAAAAAAGTACAAAAAGAGCATCATTCAAACTTCCCAGGTAGATTGCCTTAAGTAATGCAAAGAAATGCTGAAAGTTATGGATTTGTACCTATTATAGAAGTGAAAATATGAAGTCAGGAGAGCACTTTTCTTTTCCTTTTTATGTTTTGAAGGGGACAGAAAAAAGAGCTGAAATGACTAAAAATCTAAAACTCGTCTGTCAGTGCTATATTTTCTCTCATATCCATTAAGAAGAAGTCTTTTCTATTATTTTGAAAACGTGGATCATCCGAAAATTTTGTGACTTTTCATTTACTGGATTGGAATAAATAACGAGCCACTCGAGCCGTATTTTGCAGCTCTCGGTCCAGCGAAGCCACGTCCGTGAAAACGCGGCTCGCTAGGAAAAGTGTTAAGGCCATTTGTTAAATGAGGTTTCCATAAAATGAAAAAGGAAATGCGGTAAAAGTAAAGTATAACACCCCCCCCCCCCCCCTTTAAGTCTTTGTGCATCACAACGATCACAGCTCATTGTTTTGTTGTTCCTGTAAGTGTTAGCACCAACCCCTCTGTGACCCTGCAGTGACCCTGGATCTGTGCTCTGCACTGGGTCAAGCATTCTAAATATGGGGGCCAACTTCTACAGAGAATGCTTTGTGCTCTTGAAAGGTTACCCTATCCGTTCGTCGTGTTTTACTATCGTATCCATACAACGTGGGGAACTCTGTGCAACCACTTTCCAAAGAGGAAATTTACTTGTTAATCGTACGGATAGGGTTAAGAATGAGCAAACAAAGGCTTCTAACCTTCCTCACAGTTTCTTGTTGGCACATGCACTGAGAACACAATATGCAGATAAAAAGCTTTCATTTGAGCAAGCAAGTATATTCTTGACAGAAAGAGTGGGTAGTTGGCAGGTGCTCTGGTGTAGTTTGCTTCTTCTTTCCTATTAAACATCTATCATCCTTATCTCTCCTCCTTCTTTTTTGTGTTGGTTACTCTCTTGTAACTCCTCCAATTTTCAGCACTCATCTGACCTTATTGTGTTGCAAGTGCCGTAAAACACTTACTAAAACTGACAGAAAGATGTATTTTTTCCTCTTAGATTTGAATCTTTGGTAACAAAAACTGTTTGAGTAATGAGCATGAACTATTCTTATTCTGTAGGCTGCCATTGATGTGGACAACTTCAAAAGAGACAAGTTTGTCCGCTCTGTAAAGAGAAAGTGGCCGGAGGACAAGACGAACTGTGGTGCTAATATTCTGTTCTTGGTGGATGAGACCTATGTAAAAGATTACTGGATCGAGGTCTTTAACAGGTTCGTGAACTCCTTTTTGGACCTGACCATCAAATTTTCCTCACTGTTATTGTAATTGTAGATGTTTTATGCCACCTTCAACACAATGTAGATCATTTAACCCCTTCATGACTCAGAGTCAGTTCGTGCTTCACCAGGCACAGTTTTGGATCCCCAGGGACACAGACAGAGTAGCTCTAGGTTCAGTGGTCAGTTTCCTATAATTAGACCCGGTTTGCAAAAACTACTAACAATGTCTAGAAAAAAAGGATTTCTATGTATGGACAAAATATTCCCTAATATGAATCTGTGATTAGTTTTACAAAATGCATCTACTTTGGCGTTGACCAGATGACAAGGACATGTGGTTACTTGAGGGAGGCATCGCGCTGCCAAGAGCGAAATGCTCGCAGCTAAAGGGATTTGAAAACAACGAACAACAACAAAATGCATATAATAGAAACGGTATGCACAGTACAACCTATTGCAGAAGATGTTCTTCATCATGGTCCTCGCGCTTCTCAAGGCATGACGACTCGCGCCGTATGTCACAGCAGCATTTTGGCTCATTCACCATGTAAGAACAGGGATGTAAATCTTCTGGCTTTTTCTGTTTTTTCCGGCCGACTTGCCATTTGGGCCCCAGCTTTTAACAAAAGTCTACTATAAACAATACATATTATATATATACTAAATAGAGATTATTTGTTGTAATAGAGGGAAAGAAACAAATATAATTTAGTCTCACTGTATTCTAATTTCTGTCAGTGCGCGTATATTTTATAGCTTTTTTTTTCAAAACCTGTTTACATCCCTGTAAGAAAATACGACGAATGGCGTACATCATATAGGTCTCGAAGGGGTTAAAAGTGAGCTGCTTCCATCCTGCCTGTCAGGGCTAGCGTGGGCTGAGAAGGATGCAGCTTTCCAGCAGACAGAGGTGGGTACTCAATAAAAGCCTTCCCACACGAGATTCAAACACATCTTCTATGCGATGGCGAAGCACCTAATCGCAACACCATAGATGCTGGTTTCCTCCCCAAGATGAGGTCATTTTGATGCCCAATTTTTTTGCATCCTATTGTAATTAGAAAAATATTGTTTCTTCTATTATTTTTAGAGAAACTTGAGCTTGTGGTAGAACAAAGTTTTTTTATTTGGGGAGATTCTATATCTCCGTTTACCCCAAAATTGACGAGTGCCTGATATCACTGTGTCGTGACAAAAATGAACATTAATTGTTGTGTCAATGTGCTTGTCTAAGCTCAAAGCCAAAATCAAACTAAATTTCCGTTAGTATCACGTTGATGTACTGCTCTTTACTCAAACTCAAAACTCAGTGACCTTTTTTGTGTCAATGTGCTTCTCCGAACTGAAAGTGAAAGTCGAAGAAAGTTTCTAAATTCTGTTATTGTTTTTGTTGTGCTTCTCTCTACTCAAACTTAAACTCGTGGGTGGTTGGCGGGTGCTCTCATGGTGTGGTTTGCTCCTTCTTTCCTATCAAACATCTATCGTCCTTTTCTCCCCTCCTTCTTTTTTATGTTTGTTACTCTCTTATAACACTTCTAATCTTCTGGCGCTCATATGATCTTATGCTGTTGCGAGCGCCGTAAAACCTCTACTACAACTAAACTAATACTTAAACTCGATGACCATTACTGTGTGGATTCGCTTCTCCTCTCTCTACTCAAACTATACTGACAAAATACTAACTTCATAGTCCATAAATGTTTCCCTCTCTCAGCCTGATGGAGGAGTTTCCACAGAGCAGTGTTTGGTGTGCTGGGCTGTACGGCTCCAAGCCAGAGGACTTCACAGAAATGAAACTGACCAAAGTAAGTCAAAGGGGAAGGGAGAGAAAGAGAGAGAGAAAGAGAGAGAGAGAGAGAGAGAGAGGGGGGGAGGGAGGGAGGGAAAGAGAGAGAGAGAACGAGAGAGAGAGAGAGAGACTGGGATGTGAGAAGTGGAAGTGGTCTAGATCTATATTGTGAAAACAGTTTGAAACAACGGACTCGCAGTTTGCCATAGGTTTGACATAAATGACAGTCCCCCAAAAATCTGGGAGGACATTCATCCAGAAACAAAGGGTTTACCTTTATTTTTGTTTGTTTTTTTGCATGATGTTATTTTCTTTTAGTTTGCAATTATAATTGTTTTCAATTGTTTCCATGATAAAATTTATCAATATTCAAATCCTTATTTGAGGTAGATCATATGCAGGTGGTTGGTGTTTGCTATGGAGTAGTTTGCTCCTTCTCACTTACCAAACATCTATCATCCTGAACTCTTCTTTCTTTTTTGTTTATCACTCTTGTAATTCATCTAATCTTCGGCACTTATATTATAACCTTATTGTGTTGCAAGTGTCATAAAACTCTTACTAAAACTAAAAATATGTAGATTATGTACTATCAATATTATTATACATTTGCCTGAACCAATCAATAGGACTTGTAGATTCAGGGGTCGGAGCCTCAGCTCGGTCGGACCTTGTGTCCTTGGGAAAGGCACTTTACACGAAATTCCAGTTTGGCTTGGTCCTTTTGGAGATGGACATTAAACTCGGAGGTCTCGCCTTTTAAATAACCTTATAGTGTTGATAGAGATGTTTTACCTATACCATTTTGCCATTTTCAATAAGACTATCTATTTTACTCCTCCAGGTAATCCGATGTCCTCCCAAAGTCCAGCAGCTTCTGCATCACATCGACTGGGATGAGGAGAGGAAGAAATGTTATGTGCGGGACAGCACGGCAGAGTCGTTCATCACTGACGGGCCGGACATCCTCACCGTCAGACATAGGCTGCACCCCAACTCGGAGGCCATCTTGCCTCATAACTGTCGGTCAGTTGTCTTGATCTTAACCGTATCCATGCGTCGCGGGGGTCATTTTGTACCCCTTGGGTTGTATTCTTCACATTTTAGAATACTTTTAGTACGAATTTCTCTTTGTTTGAAACTTTCAGTATTTCTCAAAAAATCATTTTGACCGACTACTATGCAAAGTGTATGGATCGGATTAACGAGTAAATTTCATCTTTGAAAGTTGTGGCACAGAGTTCACCATGCCGTGTGGATATGGTAGTAAAACATGATGTACGGATAGGGTTAATGATGATAATAATAATGATATTAATAAATAGCATTTGTATAGCGCATATCCCCGCTTGACAGCAAGCTCTATGCATTTAGAAACATTCTCAGCTTCCTGGGAACCATACAGTGCCAGCAGCTCATTAAATGCGCGAACAGTAACAAACTAACAAGATCTTTCAATGTCTATAGCTGGGTACCCATTCCTACCTGGGTGAAGTGAGGAACATTAGTGTAAAGTGCCTTTCCCAAGGACACAACGTCAAGTCCCTGATGGGATTCGAACCCACGACCTTGCGGTTGCGCTTCTGAAAACCTAACCTCCAGGCCACCGAGCTAAACTTTTGTTACTCCCCCCCCCCCTCCCCCCAGCTAATTATTCTTTTTGAGTTCTCTAGTCTAATCAACTGAGCTGTTGCCTCTTTTTGTCCTCTTTAAAATTGTTGGTGATTTGTCTTGTCAATGCCGTTTTTGTAACTTTTTACTCCCCCCCCCCCCCCTTCCCTATTATTTTCTGTTTTAATAAGTTGTAAGCTGTTTAGAAGATTGCAGATTACTAATTACTGTCCTCATTTACCATTTCCTGTTGTACTCCACTTAAAACTGGTTGGTAAACAAGTACAGCACTCATTTTCAGTGCTTGTAAAGCCGGCTGGTAAAGTAAATTTCTAAACCACACACACTGCCCCCCCCCCCCCCCCCCCCCCAATTCTGAAAAGAAATTCTTAATATTTGTGAGGCAGCATGGTCAAATGAGGCGCTCGTCAACATAATAAAATCAGAGAATCCGGCATTTTTCCGCAGGTTGTTCAATTTTTTTTTTTATGTTTTTTTTTTTATTCAGCACTTTTTAAATCTGTTGGAAAACACATGTCTGTGAAGATTTCAATGAAAAATGTTGATAAAAGGTACAAAAGATGTGAATTATTTGTTTACAAGGTTTCTCAAGCTTTGTAAGACACCAGACTCTGGGGGCCATTTTCTAGCTAATTTTGCCTCTGAAATCAGGCGACCCCCACTTTCTTCAACTCCAAATATCTCGTCTTCTATTCGAGATAGATGCGTAATTTTTTCATCACAAGCAAGACAAATGAACGAGCTTTGTAATGGTATCAATAACTCAGTATACTAAAAAATGATGAGTGCCTGATTCCACCACGTCGGGACACGTTTTTTCTCTCTAGACAACACAACAACCTTGTCTATCCATCTATCTATCCATCTATCTATCCATCTATCTATCCATCTATCTATCAGGAGCTGTAATTCATCGCTGGTGCGCCAGTGGGGCTGCCCATACTGAAAAGGCGTTGCCTCTAACAATCGCAAAAACAACACAAATAAGGCCACTCGGAGAGTGGAGAATCCAGATGTTCGTACTACTAGGTCATATAAGTTTCAAAAGGAGGGCTCTAAAGTTTACTTTTATTTTTATTTTTTCTCGGTAGGCACTGCGGCCAGGAGCTGGTGTACGTCTTGAGAGACAAACTCAACGTGAAGAAGTCGGACCAGGTCCAACAGGTGGAGGACCTGCAGATCTGGACGGCCAAAACCTCCAACATTCTCATTCTAGTCAACATGCCCAAGACAGACTATGAGTAAGACATCTCACCATTCGACCGCAATGCTGTCCCTGTCGTTTTATGCAAGAAAAATTCTGAAATTATCCAAACTAAGCACAAAAATGTGAAATTATGCTAGTTTTTAGTTTAGTACGGGGTTTTACGGCCCTTGCAATTGCATAAGGTCATATGGGCGCCATTCTGTTAATTTTAACAAAGAATGATAAAGGGAAATAATCAGAAATTATGCAAAAAATGATCAAATTTTGTTAAATTATTTGGGGTGCATAAAACCACGGGGACAGGTAGTGTAGTCTTATCTCAAACAATTTCAGGAAGGGATTCCTAGAGAGAAAGTGTTTTTCATTTTCACATTTAGGCCTATTCATAGAAAATGTTCATGAGGAAAATTCAAAGAGAATCCTTGTGCATAAAAATAATAATATGCTTTCGAGGGTCTGAGTACGCAAGTCAGTTTTGCTCTTCACGGATTTGCTGTTTGAAGAAAAATGATGACCTCACAGTTGGAAACAACTTTAGTAAATATTTCTCTCTTTATTGTTGCAGGTCTATTTTGAACAGCTTGAATTTATCGAAAGCTGAAAAGTTTGTTAAGTGTTTTAAAGAGGGATTACTTGACCATCTGCATGGGTTGAGTCTGTGTTTTGGTTTTGAAAAGTTCTCAGCTGTGTTTTTTTCATAACAAGTCAATTTTTATTTTTTTTCCTCTAACAGTGCAGACGAGAAAGGATTCTGGGACACGACTAAGGAGAAGTACGTGGCCCACATGAAGAAGATTGAGAGTTCTCCGATGTTGGCCGAGCTCCAGGCGGCCGGATACAACACACGAGTCCACACCGAACTCTCGTGTCCCGATCTAGTCAACAAGGCACACAATGAGGTCATCAACGTGACCTGGCTCTTCACATACCAGGGTCTGGAGAACATGATCATTGTCTACCTACCCGGCGACCCTGCTCTGACCCCGGAAATGGCCACCGACGAAAATTTCACCAACCCCAAACGGAACATTCCTTGTCCCGGCTTGCATGCAAAGTTGGAAAGAGAAGACGGGAGGGGAGAGTTTACCGCTGATGGACCTAGTGCCGCATCCTCTGGGACTGCGTCTGATTCACTTATGTACAGGTCTGAAAATGCTCCTGTTAACGTGCCTGCAGACGCGTCTGCTTCGTTTTCAAACACATCTGAGAATGTAGTATTTGCTGATCTGCCAGAAACAAACGGTGACCACTCTAGTCCAGCTCCTCCGAGTGTGGAGTTCAAGATGCCAAGTAACGTTACCTATCAGGAAAAGGATTTGGAAAGGTACACGAGGTGGGATAAAAATAACCTCTTTATCTCAGCCTCTCGATGCACGTCACAGCTGATTCTGATTACGCGTTGAGAAAGAGCTCTTTGATGAACCATTTCTGTTCCTTTCCTTTACCAGAGGTAACAACTATGTGGGCAGTGCTGGCCCTGAATATATTATACGACACAAAGGTTTTCTAAGGTACTTGGCCACGTATATTTATACTCTGCTTCAAGATTTTACATGAGACTTGTAATGAATAGCTATTTACAGGTGTCAGAGTCTAGACATTTTTGAATAATGGAAAATAATATTCTCTTTTATGGTTCTTCTTGGGGCAATGAAATCGATTTCAAATTGATTTGGAAGTAATATAAATCTCTGAGATGTGAAAGGTAAAATGTGAATGGCCAAAAGTTTTTTTCATAGCCTCAAAAAAAGAATGGCGCTAAAAAAATATTTTCAAAAATGTATATTAACTAACATTTTAATGCTGACGTTAAGATTTACTCTCTTATTTGACAGTTTTTGTGCTTTGTTATACCTTGCTTTTTACAAGGTTTGTTTTAATCAAGATTTTCTGTGCTGACATTTTTTAGAAATTTCATGAGAGCAGCTTGATGATAAATAATGGCTTTACCGAAGAAATTGCAAGTAGACCAACGGTATCTTTTGCTGTCATCTTAAATATCACAGCTTACATCTATCAGATTTTCTCTTGACATCTGTTTTTTTCTTTCCTCTTAAATACTCTAAATACTGGAGATTTTCTATAGATCATGTTCATGAATTGAAAATCGGAACAGAAAAAAAAAAGAGAAAATTGCTGCTTTTTCTATTTTCTTCAAAAGAAGTCAATGAATTATTGTTGTTGTTATTTTACCCAATAGAAGGTTGAGGGTTTTAGAGGTCTTTTCCTATTTTTGTATAGCAAACAGTCATGTTTAGAAATGCTTGTTGTATTGGATATTTTGCTTTTAAGTTTTAAGTTACCTGTCAACCATTCCTCAGTGTCTATGATGTAGTGGTTAGGTATTCCACCATCACTTGCAAAAGTGTTCAGTTCCATTCCCATGTGATGAGGTTTTGTTGGGGCTTTTAAAAAATAAAATAAAATGAAATATCTTCATCTGCTGGGACGTTGTGTTCCTGTCAACTAGGGTTATCCTTGAGGGTTGAAGCAACTCCTCTCCTGAATGATCTATCTAAATTGTCTGATTGGAGGAGTAAAACATCTTCAGTTCCACTTCTTCTTTTTTTTTTACGAATCCCAAAAGACCAAGTACATTCAACTGATATTTCCCATTGTGTTCACGTTTAAAGTATAGATGGGAAGGTGCTTATCTTTCCAACAAATATTTTTTAGAAAAAATAGTTCAATCAATATGTTTTTGTGGCCCATGTTGTCGGAGAGTTTTGTACTGTATGTAGATGGTGTCAGGCAGAGATGGGCCCTACCCCCCGCGGCGATGCCACTGACTGAAGTGTTTTTAGGCTATTCCCAAAGGGGGGACATTTCTAATTCTAACGCACAGTAGAATTGTAAATGGGCTGATCCAACAATGTCATGCTCTTAACTGTGCCTGAACTACAACAGGGAACTGCTGCTTTTTCTTTCCTTATCCATACTATCGGCATTTTCCTCTACTCCTTTTGTATGTTGTCACACTCTTGTGACCCGCTGTTTCCGGGGTGCCTTGATAGTCGAAGCAGACTTTGTGCTGCTGAAGCTTGAGAGGTGAGCAGAGTAAGTCTGATTCCATGTAAGGACTTTTCTATTGACATCCACCTCTTGGCGCTCATATGACCTTTTGCTGTTGCGATTGCCGTAAAACCTCTACTAAAACAAACAAACAACAAAGATGGGCCCACACCAAAATTCTTTAAGAACTGATTTTTTTTAAACTCTGATGTTTAGCAGGGTCAAATTGTCTCAGTTGGTATTATAAAGATTGAAGAAATCAAGATGCATGAAACATCAGCACAAAATCTGACTTGATCAAAATCTTTTTAATCATTTTATTGTACACTTCTTAGCCTCTCCTCTAAATACGGACCCTGCAAAATGGCCCATCTATGCCTGACGCTATTGATATATTTTGCCGTTGTCCCCAGATAAATGACTCTGTTCGACCTTGCTTCACTCTGTGAGCTAAAGTCACATGACTAACTCATCTTTTCTCTATATATCTACTACATTCCTGGTATGTTTCTCACTCTTACCTTTTGATTTTAAACCTGTTTTTCAATTGTTGCAGTGTGGGTGGGGTTTTTTCCGCACTGCTGATTCTGTCCATCTGTCCTGCTTTTTCCTGCTCTTTATGACCATTATTGTGCCTATGGGAATTTCTTTACAAAATTTAAAAAAAAAAAAAAGAAACCCCATTGACGCAGCTGTTTTACTCAAGGCCAGCTCAAATACAGAGATTTTTAAAGAATTTTTCTATTTTTAAAATTCTGATATTACATTTGAAGAGTGCGGGGGGAAAATGGCATTGGTATTTTTCAATTTTTGTCTTTATCTGTTTTGGTCTGTTGTTAGGCATCAATGGACATGTCCGGAGTGCAGGGATGTTGCTTCCTGAAACAATGAACGACTATGAACAATGTCTGTTGTTTGGCTTGTTCCATTTTGTCCATCAATGTCATGATCATCAGCAACAGCTACCGGTAGCTGTCCTGAAATTGTGACTAAAGCAGTTGTACAGGGGGAAAAAACGTGCACATCCAATTCTTCTTCTTCTCGTTCGTCTCTAAATAGACATCCCAGTCTCTAGCACGAAGGCTGCTGTTCGCCGCAGGCCCCCTAAGAGTTTTGGGTCTCTCTTCCTAAGTAAGGTTGGTCCAGTATTTCCTTCTTAAATAATGCCTCGTGGGTGGTTGGTGGGTGCTCTGGTGTGGTTTGCTTCTTCTTTCTTATCAAAATCTATCGTCCTAATCTCTCCTCCTTCTTTTTTATGTTTGTTACTCTCTTGTAATGCCTCTAATCTTCTGGAGCTCATATGACCTTATACAGCTGTGAACGCCGAAGTAAAACCTCTACTGAAACGAAACGAAATGAATGCCTCGAGCATTTGGCAGGCTTGTAGCAGGTGGTTCTCTGTTTGGCTGCAGTTCCTCACTGACTGTGATCTGAGTTACATAAAAAATGACCACAGAAAAGAAATATTTTTTTCTTGTGACCAATGCCGTTTTTCCTCCAAGGTCTTCTGATGCGAAAAGCACAAATTTTACCTGAGATATTCTTTCTCTTTTTGTGGATTTTACTTTGGTTTACCATTCTCTTCATGTCTCTTTAAAAAAACTACCTATATATTTCTTTGTGATTCATTTCCTTTGAAAATTTTTTTTATTTACTTCAAGACAAAAACATGCATTGCATTTTGAAATGAAGTACGATTTCTGACTGAATTTGGACGAATTTTATTGTTTATCGTGATGTATTCATGTGGAACCAAGAAAGTTTTCCGTTTATAAATGATTTTTACTTTTTTTTATAGCGTGGAATCCTTGAATCTTCAAGGAAATGAAAATCTGGTGTGATCATTCCAAACTTTTTTCCTTTTTAAAAATATTTGTGCTTATTGTGCGGCGTGGACTACTTAAACCTTCAGGGACAAGGAAGTCTGGTGAGGTTGTCCACACCAGGGAAATCTGCGTCTCATTAACTCCAGGGGGGAAAAAATAAGACGTAGGATAGTGATATTTTTCTAGATTATTGATTTTTCTTATTGGGTAGCTAGCTTCTAAATTAAAAATGCATTGATACATTGTTCACACATTGGATAGCTTGTAGAAAAAAATTCATAGATATACAATGCTTTTAGGCCCATTTATTTGTAGGCCTACTTTAAAGTCTCATTCAGCTTGAGGCAGCTTTACCTGTTGTGTTTTCTTTTGTTTGTTTTTTGTTTTTTTTATGAATTTGGCAAACTTGTTTATTAAGAAAGTACTATGGTCATTCTGAGACAGCAGAGTATGAAAGGGGAGTTATCAAGGATATTATTACTTTTTTCCTTTTTTCAATTGCCATGTTTAGCATAATATTTTGCCTATTTTGAGAAGATATTCATATTATACAGTCGAACCTGTCCAAGATGGAATGGTAAGAGAGCCAGAAAAAAACAACACATTTGGCCTAAGGCTTTTTCCATCTTGGGACAGGGGAATTTTGGGGGAGGGGGGGGGTCAAGAGGGCCAGCCATATGTGGTGGGATCAAAGGTCACATGTCCGATTAGCAAGCTCTGGTCCAAACTTCACACCTCTCAAGTGTTTTCCTTTTAGCTTGCTAATCCATTGCTACCATCAGTGCTTGCATCTTGGTAGGACCACTTTTTGACCAGTTGAAATCAGAAAATGATTGGACATATGATCTTCTTTTTTCGCCTTGTTGTCTGTCCCCGCAGTTTTATTATTTTAAATTCTGAAATTATGCAAACTGAGCACAAAAATGTGAAATGACGCGATTCTGTTAATTTTAACAAAGAACGATAAAGGAAAATAATCAGAAATCATATTTTGCAAAAAAATTATCAAATTTTGCTAAAGTGTGCGGGGTGCATAAAACCACGGGGACAGTCTTGTAGCCCCACTCAATGTGATGTAAAAAGAATAATAGTAGGCCTGTGCTACCTGTCTCTGAAGATCTACTGACCGCAGTGAAGAGACGAAAATTAAAATGGTATGGGCATGTCACAAGATTCACAGGACTTGCCAAAACAATCCTGCAAGGAACCGTACAAGGAAAGAGAAAGAGAGGAAGACAGAGAAGGAGATGGGAGGACAACATTACAGAGTGGACAGGAAAGACGATGGGTGACAATTTGATGAAAGCAGAGGACAAAAATAGATTGCGAGAGCTGGTTTTCAGATGCAGTGGTACCCCTACGGTTGCCCCAACCACGGGATAGAAGAAGAAGAAGAAGAAGAAGAAGAAAAAGACACGTGTCGCTTTCTGTGAAATTTACCACCAGTCTTGTTGTGTCACCGGAAGTTTTGCTGATATGCATGATTGCAGTAGCACTTACGTGGTCTATCATTGCTCTTTAGGCCCGAAACAGCGAACTACGGCCATTGTACTGACGCCGTCCCCACTCACCCCCACCTCTCCTAAACATCGGAGACGTCTCCGGCGAGCACCCTGTCCCCACATCCCCACATCGTGCAACAATGAATGATACAGGGAACTTTTTTTATCAGCTGTCCTTACAATCAGGCCGGCGGGGCAGTGGTCAAATTTCGTGCCTCTGGCTATCCAGGACAGTTTTGTGCTGGCATGTCATTTTTGAAAATATGCAGCAGCTGAGAGATTTCACACCCACTTTATCCTTACCATCTGCGCCACTCCAGGCTCACATGGGTGGGGGGGAAGGTTCATTTTGTTCTTATCAACCAAACACCGAAAAAGGCAGGAAAAGTTTTTTTTTGTGGGGGGGGGGGGGGGGGGAAGCCCTTCCTCCTCCTCTGGTGTGATGGCATGGCATAAAGCTGGTGGAACCACCAAACATTCTCATTTTTGTTTCAAACCAGGGTTGAAAGAACGGACAAAGCATTTCCTATCTTCGACAAGTCAAAACCCCCGAAAAGGAAAAAAATGTCTCTCTGCATTTCTGGGTTGTAAAGGTTTTCGTCTTGGACAAATGTAATTATATAAGAATTTATCAGCGGGCGGGGGGGGGGGGGGGGGGGAGGTTGCTGATTCTATTCGTCAAGTTTGACTACTTAAATTTTATATTATACAGTGCAGTTCCCTGGACTTTTAAGGGCCTTGAATATCGTGTTGCCACTGGAAAAATAGATAGCAATAGAGGCTGAGGTAGACCAAGGATAATCTGGTGGAAGAGAACTGGAAGGTATGGGGGCTGGTAAAACACCAGAATGATAGAATCTACAGGTAGTTTGAGAGCCAAGAAATGCACAGCTAAACGTGATAGCTGATCTCAGTTTCAGACCTAGCATTATAGAGAAAGAAGAAGAGGAGGAAGAAGATGGTAAGCAAACTGTCTTACTGTCTGAAGATACTTCCCCCCAAATGAGGTCCCACAAATGACTCCCCCCACCATCTCCCTTCTCCCTCCCCCTCCCCCCCCCCAACCCCACCTCCAAACCACACGAAGAGGACCGTGTACGTGATTGTGCCACACCCCAACATTGATATAACAGCTGCACCTTACAACGCAGAGATGCTTTGTTCCGTGTGCACAGCGTGTCAGCTTGGATGGCCCTTAGCCTACACATACTCACACACATGCACACATATGCACGCACACATATGCGCGCACACACATGCAGACACACACACACACACACACACACACACACACACACACACACACACAGAGACACACACACACACACACACACACACACAGAGAGACACAGGCACACACACACACACACACATACCTAACGAGGTTTTCTTGAATAAGGTGTGAGAAAAAGACTTGTTAGAAAGTAACTCTTTTCATGTCGACCAATTTGCATGGATCTTTGTCCATGTGCACTCCTAATCTTTGCATCAAATGAACTGATGAGAATATCGATCAAAGTCATTCCTTTTTATATTTGTGTCCTCCACATCTTTGTCTATTTTGTAATGTTAAGGCTTATTGCTTTGCCTGCAAAAGATGCGAGTTTGATTCTCTAGTGAGGGAAGTCTGTTATCAACGTTTGCCTTTTGTCTTTTTTACTGGGATGCTTCAGAGTTGAAGCAGCCTGCCTCAAAAATGATCTAAATTGTGTGGAAGGGGGTGTTGATAATTTACAAATAATATATCTTTTAAAATACATAAGCTCATTATTTTACTTTTTTTTGGTTGTTTTTTTGCAAGTACTGTGAATTGGTTTGAATCTTTCAAATATATCTTTTAAAATACATAAGCTCATTATTTTACTTGTTTTTTTCTTTTTTTGCAAGTACTGTGAATTGGTTTGAATCTTTCAATGTTTTTCAAATTTTGTTTTCAATCATATTTACGGTATGTATTCTTGCTGACAAAATGACAAAACTAGCTCTGTTCTAAAATTGGTCTGACTTGCGAAATGTAAAATTGTAAACTGACTTTTTTTTTTTTTTTAATGGAAGCCGTCACTTTGGACAAGTGACTGAAGGATAAGTTTTTGAAACTAATCATTCTGAAGTGGTTTTTGTGAGAAATATTCACTGGCTTTCTTGCACTTGAATTTTATTGACAAATGTTCTAGTCAACATTGTTTTTGTATTGATACTGTATCCTTCAATTATATCATGTTGTTTTGTTTTTCTTTGCTAAAACCAGTATGCTCACTTACTAATAGCTTTGGCATAATTATATTATTTCTATGGATGTGTATTTGTTTCTACTTTGTTTTGGTCTGTAAGTCTTGATGGGTTTCGATGGGGTAGAGGTCAGGTGCTTTGCCGTGCCACACACAGAAGACGCGAGTTCGGTTCCCTTGTGGGGAGGGGTTTTTTTTGTATTGAATATTTCTTCTCCATACCACTGACTGAAGTGTCTTTATGCCATTCCCAAAAGGGGGACATTTCTCGTTCTAATGCACAGTAGAATTGTAAATGGGCTGATCCAACTATGTCATGCTCATAACTTTGTGCTGTTTAAGCTAGAGGGTCAAGCAGAATAAGTCTGATTCCCTGTAAGGACTTTTCTGTTGACATCCACCCCTTGGCGCTCATATGACCTTACATAATTGTGAGCTCCGTAAAACCTCTACTGAAACCAAAAAAAATCTCTTCTCCGTCTGTGTGCTGGGACATTGTGTCTCTATCCTATCAGCCCATGTTAGCCCTGACTCTGACAGGCAGGGTCAAAACAGCCCACCCCCTTAATTGCCTAAATAATGGTGAACGGGGCATGGAACAAGTACAGCTGTTTGCGAATTACACTTTGTTCACTTCATAATGCGTTGGGCATGGTTATATTATTAGTTCATTTGTATCTTCTTTGCTTGGCCTGGTAGTTTAGCAAAACCTTCCATGGACTTTGGTTAGATTAGTAGTTTCATGTGATGGTGGTCCAGTGATAAGGCTGTTGGGCTCACAACTGAAAATTTGCAGGTTAGAACCTCATCAGGGACCCGATATTGTGCCTTTCGAAAAGGCACTTCACACGAATTTTCCTTATTTCGTCCAGGTGGGAATGGATACAATGTACCTGGCTATAGACAGCGAAAGATCTTGTCAGTTTGTTAGTGTTTAAACACTGAATCGGCTGCTTGCACGGTATTCTTCCTGGGAAGCTGAGAATATCTCTGAGTATTCCAGAGTCTGCTGGGGTAAGAATAGATTGTAAAGTGCATAAGCATTCTGTTGGACGGGATATGCGCTGTACAAATGTTACTAATGATTATTTTTACCAATGTACCAGCCGTCATTGTTATAACAATTTTTTTCCAGCACCAATTCTCACCTGCCTAGGTCTGCAGTATAATGTTTAAGCCTATCCGTGCGCCCTGGGGTCATTTTGTACCCCCGGGATTGTATTCTTCACATTTTAGAATACTTTTAATACGAAGGTCTCTTTGTATCTTTCAGAATTTCTCAAAAAATCATTTTGACAGTCTGCTATGCAAAGCGTACGGATCGGATTAACGAGTACATTTCCTCTTTGGAAAGTGGTGGCACAGAGTTCCCCACGTCGTATGGATACGATAGTTTTTTTTTGGTAAGCGTTTTACGGCGCTCGCAACTGCATAAGGTCATATGAGCGCACGGGACACACCTAATATTTTTCAGTTGGTAGGAAGTTTTGAATTTTGCCCGGGTGGCGGCCGAAGCCTACTCTGATCGATTTTAGACCACCAAGGGATCTTTATCGTGCGCAACTTGCACACGGGCCCTCCGAGATTTTTCGCCCTTGTCCGAGAAGGTTTGGTGTAGATCTTTCCTACCAGAAGATCAGGGGTGTGGCAGAAAGACAGCAGTAAGGAGGAGCCAAGGAGTAGCAGTAGAAAGGCTGCAGAAAGAGTCAGGGCAAAGGAGGTGAGGGGATGGGGGAAGAAAGAGGAGAAGAAAGCAGACGACAGAACATTGCTGGAGAGCAGGAAAGGAGGTGAAAGGAGACAATTTAAGTCAAGAAAAAATTTTTCGGTCGCTACCCAGGTTCGAATCCGGGACTTTTGAATGAGAGGCCAACACCTGAAACTCTAGGCCACGGGGGGCTGCTTTGGTTCGAAAGTTACTTGAAGTTGAAGAACAATGGAGCCAGACTCACAGTTGTTTAGTTTAGTTGTTTTTTGTTTTTCTTTTGTTTTTTTGAAAATGTGGAGATTTCGTCCTGTATTTTGGAACAGCCAAGTGAGACGCACAATTCGTTTTGCTGTGATGCTACACATTTCTTTTTTTTTACAGCAATCGACAGACAGCCGTAATATCAATTGTCATTTTAATACATCTTTAGAGCAACTAGATGCTGTAAGAATTGGATCAACATGTTTTATTTACAATGTGTCTCTTGCATCCATTGTGTGCTTTGTAGGTTTACTGAAATATATTCCTAAAATTTTGAAAAACTTACTCCGCTAGATCTTTTTTATACTTTATGATAACTTGAGGATATTTTTTAGTATTTTTTTCAGATGCCAACGAGTAGGCCTATCTTTCTATTGTGCATGCATGCCTATATATATAAACAAATCAATAAAGCATTTATATATCTGATATAACCACACAGGGTCTCCTCTCGTGTTTGTCCATAGCTTTTGTTTTATTTTTACGGTTGTGGATGTTGTAACAAAATTTCGATGTCACTTAAACTTGTGGGGCCTTGAACAAATAGAGCAACATAAAAAGCAAAAGACTGTAGCCCCCACCCCCCACCCGAATACACACACACACACACACACACACACACACACACACACACACACACACACACAAATACCCCCCCCCCCACACACACAAACACACACACACACACAAACACACACACACACACAAACACACACACACACACACACATAAACACACACACACACACACACACACACACACAAACACCCACACACACACACACACATTGCAGACGTATGTAAACACACGTACAATACCCTGTCGTTGATGGTGACTGTGCGCATCTCTGCTTTCACTGCATGATTATTCAGCGAGCACCACTGCACACAGGCCTTATCGGGGTGGAGTTCGCCGTAGTGGTCTACACGCCATTGCCCGATTCGATCCAGCTCCTGTTACACCGAGTTAGCTGTTTCTTGCCGGTCCTTACCCTGTCTGTCTGTATACAAGGACAACATCCGCAAAGCTCAGCTCCCGCCCTAGGCTTTCCAGTTGTCCAGAAGTTTTTCCAACTGTGTATATGTTGAATAACACTGGTGAGAGTGGTGATCCCTGCAGCGACTCCGGTGTGATGCTTCTGGTGTCACATGTCCAGTTTCCCAGCCACATTGCAACTCTCCTCTTCAGCAATGCCTCACCTACCCATACCACGAGCTGGGGGATAATCTTCAGGTTGATCATTGTTCTCAAAAGGACATCGTACTCAATCCTGTTGTAGACATCATCGAGGTCAAGCGCTACTATCAGAGTCTCTTCGCCTCTTTCAAACCCATCATAAACATCTGTTGCTTGGACAGCGGCATTCATCCACGTTCCCGTCCCCCTTCTGTAGCTACCCCCCGTCGCTGGAAGTGCCTCATCCTTTTCTATCTCGTTTTCTAAGAGCTTGCTCACTCAATAATTATTTTGCGTCGTGATTACTCGATAAGCAGTTGTCTCACCCCCCCCCCCTCCCCCCGGGGTAGTGCCACTGACTGTAGGGTCTTTAGGCCATTCCCAAAGGGGGGACATTTTTCGTTCAAGCACAGTAGAATTGTAAATGGGCTGATTCATGTCACACTCATAACTGTGCCTGATCTACAACAGGGAACTGCTGCTTCTTCTTTCCTAATCCTTACTATTGTCATTTTCCCTCTACTTCTTTTTTATGTTTGTCACTCTATTGTGACCTGCTAATTCCGGGGTGCTTTGATAGTCGAAGCAGACCATGTGCTGTTGAAGCTAGAGGCGTGAGCAGAATAAGTCTGATTCCCTGTAAAGACTTCTCTGTTGACACCCACCCCTTGGCGCTCATATGACCTTATGCAGTTGTGAGCGCCGCAAAACCCTCTACTATACTTTTATTTTAAAAAGCAGGTATCTTACTCTGGTCCTTGTCAGGCCTGGGGAGTGGTACTAATTGGCTGTCCAACCAGTCCTCCGGTATCTCTCCATTCCATAGACTCCTGTTGAGGATTTCTCTAAGGTCCCTGATGCTGTCCTCGTCAAGGTTTTTCATGTGAGAGAACCGTGCACCATCTGGACCTTGGGCGGTATTGGGAGAACGCTTGATTGTTCTCTCAACGTCATCTTGACTGGGGTGTAGTTGAAGAGTTCATTAACGTATCGCTGGTGTATTGCACAGAGGAGCCTTTTTCGTTCTTCTTCGTTGTCCTGGTCTGTCTGCTGAATGTATCGGGCAAACCAGCTCCTCATTTTTCTCCTGGTTTGACCACACCAACTCTTCGCCCTCCCTATGGAAGGCTGGTAGACCTTTGGCCGGCTTCTTTTTCATCATTGATCTGTACAGCTGCCAGAATCTGTAGCGTGCCTTGTCATCTGTCATCTCTTGACAAAAATTTTAATAAATGGCTTCCTTAGCCTCTTTCGCCACGACCTTGAATAGTCCTGAAGCTTCCTTGTCTGCTCTTCTCAGGTCTGTGGGTTCTCTCGGTTCGTCAGTATGCTTGTAACGCCTTCCTTTTTTGCTCTGCACAATTCGTCCAGCTCATCATTCCGCCATGGCGGCTAGGTGACCTCCACTTGCTTCCTCCTCCTGACTGGGATTGCCTTCTTCCTGAGACTGCTGATAAAGTCTTTGCCTTTGACCTCATACGCGAATTCCTTTGTCTTCTTGGCGGCTCTGGCAGGTTTCCTATGCCTAAGTAACAAGCACTGTATGCGACAAGTGGTCGTTTCCGTGATATCCAAGGACCCGCCATGTACAATCTGTGGCAGTTTGTAGAGAGACCAAGGCCAGGTCAATAGCGCCATCAGTGTCACCCGCTCGTTGTGCCAGTCTTGCAATGATTCCATCGTTGAGACATCTTAGGTCGCAGAAGTCTAAGGCGTCCTTTTGTGCGCAACAAGAGCAGCATCATCGGCGAAGAGAAGGTCTCGTACTGCTGTTTTGTTGAACTTGGTCTTGGACCGGAGTCAAGCAAGATTGAAGAGCGACCCATCGGTTTTTCAGTGGAGGAAGACACCCACTGGTGACCCTTTGAATGCATATTGCAGTAAGACAGCAGAATGCTTAAAATGGTTGGTGCTAAGACACAACCTTGTTTTAATCCGCTTCTGATGTTGAAGCTGTTCGATGTTGAACCATCAAACTGAATGGTGGCCTTCATACCTTCGTGGAATAAGATGATGAGCTGTAGCAGTATTGGGGGACAGCCAATTTTTCCAAGCACCATGTACAGTCCTCATCTACTGACTGTACCGAAAACCTTTGTCAGATCGACGAATGCAGTACGTAATGACAATTGTTGTTCCCTGCATTTTTATGTAGCTGACAAATAGAAAAGATCATGTTCATTGTTGAGCAGTTTGATCTGAAACCGTGTTGTCTCTCTGGTAGGACTATTTCTGCTAGTTTCTGAAGTGCTTTTCTAGTGATGCTAAGTAATGTGAGATACCTGTGTAGCTGTTGCAATCTCGATCGTTCCCTTTCTTTTTGTAGAGTGTGGTGATTTTACACACACACACACACACACACACACACA